GGTCACTCAATTGCTCTTCCCAGCTGAGTGAGAGAAGGGTCACTGATGTGGGATCAGCAACTCTCTGCCAGGTACTCCAGGCTCAGACATCTCTATTTCTCTCAAAGATGCCATGATCCTTTCAGGTACCCAGGTTTGCAACCTTGGTGTCATCCTAGACTCTTTTCTCACTCCAAATATCCAGTTAGTTGCCAGACCTTGTCATTTCTACCTCCACCGTAGTTCCTGCATCTCTCTACTCATACAGCAACCACTTTAGTTCAAGGACCTCATTGCCTATCACTTGAACTACTGCACTAACCTCTCGATTGGTCTCCTTGCTTCGAGTTTCTTCCCACTCTGTTCTATCTTCCATGTGGCTGGCAAGATTATTTTCTAAAATATGGGGTGTTCAAAGCTCTTCATAACCCAGCCCCCTCCTACCTCACCAGTCTTCTTACACCTTACTCCATCCTACCCTCCACCTCTTAGATTCAGGAATTTTCTCTGGCTGTTCTCCATGCCTGAAATGCTTTCCTTCCTTCTCTCCTCTTGGCTTTTCTGGCTTCCCATTTTCTACATGAAGCCTTTCCCTTCTCTCTTTTAATGATTTCCTTTTTATCTTGAACATAGCTTGTTTGAACATATTTGTTTGCTTAGATTTTGCATTCCTCAATGGTAGTGGCTGACTCCTGCTTTTCTTTGTATCCTTCCCATTACGTGGCACAGTGCATAGAACATAGTAAGTGCTTAATTAATGCTTGTTGAGTGACTGACCATGCCACTTCATTAATCAGTAAACTCTATTCTTTTATTTCAGGATTAAATATAAAGTCCTATACTTGGAATTTAAATTCATTCTAGATTAGCCCTAAGCTAGGCCAGTCCAGTGATTCAAGCTCAAAGTTTAAAATACAATAAGCACAACTGAATCTTAAAATCCATTTAAAAACCAGTTTTACTAGAAAAAGATGAAGAGGACAAAGCTTCTAAAGAGCATATAAAATGCTACTTCCTTTCTCCTGCAGAATCAACACAATAGACTTGTAGGGGAGCAACAACTAATGTGAAGCTTCTGATGCCATTAGTCCCTCTTAATATGTCTATAATAAAATATATATTGTTATATAATCTAATGTAATTATTAAAATAAATCTCTTATTTAAAGTGCAGAAAAACCTTCACCTTCTTAAAGGCTATCCTCAGTCACCTGCCACTAAAGCCCTTAGAAAAACCAGGAGAATGAAAGGGTCTGAGGTGAAAGGGAAAGTAGGAAGGAGCTGTTAGTTCTTATGGTACTTTTATGACAGATATATGACAGAGATATATGTTAACACCCCACTAGCATAATCTTGGGAAAATCGAGATCACTTTATACACAGATGAAGTTTGGATAGGGCTTTCACGAAAGGACATGGTATTGCTAAGTTGACATGCAGGCCTTATGGATGAACATAGGGAGAAGAGACTTGATTTTTAAAATCTGTTTTATTGTATTATTGGTTTATAGGCAAGCTCTCGAGTTATGCTCTGTGGTGGTCCAAAGGGCCAGAGGCATTGCTTGGGTAATGTTGGGAAGGAGTAGAAGAAGAAAGAGGCTTGAGAGAACATGAGTAGACACCTTCAGAAGCCTGTCTGTCAACAGTTTTATGAACCAGTAAGACAAAAACCAGGTTCCTCTTTTCTTTCATTTGCTGCTACTACCCCCTTGGCTTGATGCTTCTCCTAGGGCCTTCTGATAACTTTTCCTTTCTTCTTGTTATGTTTCTCTTGTTTTTTCTTTTCTTTTTTAATTAACAAGTGTTTCTTTCCCTTCCCTCATTGTGAAAAACAAAACAAAACTCTCTTAAGAAAAGAACAAAACAAATTATGCATGTTGTTAGGTTCTTCTTATTAAAGCCTCCTTTTAGCC